ATGGCCCTGTGAATCTGGATGAAGCTAGGCTGATAGATTTTCTATGTTAACTAGTTTGCGTTATTCACCCATGTTAGCAAGTCAAGCTAACGTTAGCCAGCTAACAGCCACAATCAGACATATATGTTCCACAAGCTTCGCAGTAATGTTAGCTTTGACTTTGGGACTCTGTGTTGGACTCTGTCTTGTGGACTCTGTGTTGGGACTCTGTGTTGTGGACTCTGTGTTGGACGTCTTGTGTTGTAGACTCTGTGTTGGACTCCTGTGTGTTGGACTTCTGTGTTGTGGGACTCTGTGTTGGGACTCCTGTGTTGGACTCTGGTGGTGGACTCTGTGTTGCGACTCTGTGTTGTAGACTCGTGTGTGGACTCTGGTTGTGTACTCTGTTGTGTTGCACTCCTGTGTGGGGTGGACTCCGTGTGTTGGACGTGGACTCTGTGTTCGGACTCTGTGGTTGGACTCTGTGTTATGGAGACAGAAGGCCACTCCGGGGGAGCAGAAAGGTCACAATCCTTTTGACCCTCATTCCCTACATAGAAACACAAACACATTACAACCTGTCACTGGTCTGCTCTGATCAATAATCTGATTATTATAGAGACAGAACAGGATTCACAGTCTGACATATGGAAGCTTTAAGAAGGACAATGCTTTGTGATATTGTTTTGGCTTTCCACTACAGGAACCGAATGACCCATAACTAAGTTCTGCTTTGTGTTTCCACTGAGTTTTACAAACCAGAATGTTTTCGGTGTATGCCGCCTAAAAGGCGACTGTTCATCAGATACCAGAACAAACATCATCTTTTTAAACAATGTTGGGTAGGAAAGGTAGTTCGGTTGTGGGACTGACTGAAACACATCCTGCTTTATTGATTACTGTGTTTGTTGTTGTTTATTGCTGATGAGCCATCGCATTTATTTCCCCTGAGAGTACCTGAACTTGAACTTAGTAGCACAACCTGAGCAAATTTAGTTCCAGGAACTTCTCCCCAAAGCAGGGAGCAAACGGTGGAAACAAAAGCAGAATCTGTTAAGTTCCTGTAGCGGAAAAAGGCCTAAAATGATAAATGTGGAACCAACCTTTAGATTCCCTTTAGTAGTAAAAGCTTGTCCACAGATGGCGCAGGCAAATGGCCTTTCCCCAGTGTGAGTCCTCTCATGGATGTGCAGAGCACTAGAGGAGGAGAAGCTCTTCCCACAGGTCTTGCAGTGGTGCTGTTTGGGCGTCCGGCGAGGTGGTGCTACAGCACATAGAGGGAAAACACAGGAGCTCTGTGAATGACAAGAAGGATCCACACCATTCCTAAAAGAGGAGCTCAGGAAAGCAGTCAGGTCTGTCTTTACAGCTTGTGAGCTAACAGATAACTCTGCACTGTTATGGTTGGGTGCTTGCTCAGGAGTGGAGGGTTCAAAGAGATGTGGTGGGAAATCCCTCATTTGATGTGTGAGCATGTGTTGCTTGAGATTCCCCTTAGTGGAAAAGCCCCTGTTGCATATTGTGCAGATAAAGGGTCTCTCCTTGGTGTGGCTCCTGTAGTGGATTTCCAAGGCGCTTTGACAGACAAAATTCTTCCCACATATATCGCAGTAAGTGTTCTTCAGGAACCCCTTTTCTCTGTGAATCAAGCTTGGCGAATCCTCTGCCTGGTTAAATTCTTTCAGGTCGGCAGGCGCTGTAGAGTCAAGCCATGTCTGGAACGGTTCATGAAGCTTTGCAGTCTTAAAATATATTGGAACTTGGTCATTAGGGTACAGAGACGGTTCAGACATGGGGAATGTGCTACTCCACTGATTGCTTTCACCAGCTGGTTGGTTGTTTGTTTGACTGCATTCCTCATTTGATCCCTCTGGCCTCTCTGTTTTGATCCATTTGATTTTCCCATGTGGCCCATGGTAACTTGTGCTCTTGTTAGCATCAGGTAGAGATGGGGACAAATGGATGGATGATGTGAATCTAGACAATCGATCATCCCCATTATTGTCATTTGAAAAGTTTGTTTTGTCGTCCAATCCTTCTTTAAAATCAGCTGAGTATTTCCAATTCGTAAGGTCTGAATTGAGAAAGTGACCTTCCGTGTGAATGCGTACGTGTTGCTGCAAGACTACAGCATTTGTGAATTTCCTTTGGCAGATGGGGCATAAGTGCTGGACCCTAAACGGGACGGTGGCACGGTGAACAGCTTGGTGTGTCTTCAGGTTTCCTTTGGTTGTGAAAGCTCGGCCACAGAGCTTACACTGGTAGGGACGCTCCCCTGTGTGTGTCCGATAGTGCATCCTCAGGGCACTCTGACAGCTCAGTATACGATGGCAGATGACGCACTCATTTGGGTCTGACGCTCGTTTGTCAGTGGTGTCTAATGGCAGCTGGAGTTTGGAGTCGTTAGCACATTTTAATGAAAGGAATCTGGAAAATGAGGTAGGATTGGGATAGGTGAATGGATTGGGTATGACATTGGTGGATTCCTCTGACAGGAAGTTAAAAGATGGTTTTAAATTTTCATTTTTAAGATTCATTGTTCTTTGTTGCCTGGCCTCAGCTGAGTCAGAGGTCTTTGTAGAAGACCTGAAGTCCATGGTTGCTACTGAATTGAAGTAAAGATCAGCTACTTTTTCCAGTGACAAGGATGTACCTAAAAGAATCCCAGCATTGGTTTTGATACTGTCCAGGTGTTCAGGATAAGGGTTCATTTGGATATGCGGGTGCCTCTCTTTGTGCTTCTGAAAATGAACCTTGAGGTTCCCCCGTGTGGAGAACCAGTTTCCACAGATGTTGCATTTGTACGGTCGTTCTCCGGTGTGTGACCGCAGATGAATTTCCAAGGCACCGTCGCTTCCAAAAACTTTGGCACAAAATCTGCATTTGAAGAGCAACTCTTTCGGAGACAGCTTGGGTGCAGGGAGCTTTAGATTCTTGCATTTCCTCTGTTGGGCCAAGCCTGCGAGGGCATCCAGATCTTCCACAATCTCACTGATGTTTGGTATAGAATCTGAAGCTGTGTGCTCGCTGCAAGATGAAGGTAAGTAGGAGATCTTGGAAGTCCTACTGATGAAACAATTATTGCTAAACATCAAAGAAGACATCTTGGTTTGGGACAGGAAGTCAGGGGAACCACAGTCCATGTGCTCGGGGACTGCTGTTGTCACAAGTTTGCTAAACCTTTGTGAGGACTCTGAGCGTGAGAACTGCTCTTTGGCTGTAAAATGCTTGAAGTCAGTGATGTTAGCAGACTGAGCTGACAAGCATTTAGCTAAACCAGCAGCTGCAGCTAGTTGCTGAGAAAGTTGAGTGCTGAGAGCCTTGAGCTGATTGGTGGATTTTGAAGATGGCAGGTCTTTGGTGTAGTTCAGCAGGGTCTCCGGTATCTTGGCTTGGTGAGAAGAAAACAACAGAAGCTGGTGACGGATTTGATCGATCAGCTGCAGCTGTTGGATCTGTTGTATTTGCAGGGCGAGGAGCTGCTGCAGCAGAGATGAGCTGTCCGAGTGCGTCAACTGTGAAAGCTGTGCCACCGCCACTTTAGTGCTCTCTAGATTCTCAATAATGATGTTGCTCTTCATCCACGAGTTCTGGTCCACTGGGCAGCCAGGTTGAGGTGAGGATTCTGGGAAGAGTGAGGTATAAAGGTCAGTCTTACATTCAGAGCCACTGGTGCTTCCTGGGCTTTCTACACTTCTATGGCTGCTTAAACAACCTGTGAATTCTGCCCTGTAGGATCTGTCCTGTGATGTGTTGGTGTTGTCTGTTTGACCCGGCCCCCCCAGCAGATCTTCATCCTCAGTCACAATCTGAACTGGAGGATCGAGAGAGCAGTCTCTTTGATGTTGTTTCAGGTCTGATAGCGAACTGAACTCTGCACAGCAGCGGCTGCAGACCGCAGGAGGAGCCTCCGGACTGACAGACGCATCCTCTACGACACACAGGAGGAGATTATTGTCATGATGCAGTTTTTATCTATTTTTTATTCATTTTAAGGAGTAAAAAGATGTTTTATGTCCAAACAAATCATGAACACTTGTTTTGTAAAGTCTCTAACTCTTTTTAAAGAGCAAATAAGAATATCTTGGTTTGAGATTATTCTGAAAGCCATTAAACGTCATAACCAATTTCTCACCTGACTGAACTCTGCAAATGACCAAAATGTTTTAATTAGGAATGAATGTCCACCTTATACATACAGAAGCAGCACATATATTTAAAGATGTGACAGCTTTCATAGATTCATTTACAATAATAATATAATAATCTCAACATAAAGGAAAACTACAGGTTTGTGCAGGAATGTTTATTGATTATAATTATTACATATTATAATATTATAAAGAAGATTATAAAGACCCATAAAGTAATATTTAAAAAACTCAATATCAATCAAAATCAATAAAAGAGTCAATAAATAAATAAACTCACCAACAGCCGGTCGGATGTGCTGAGGGTTGAGCTGCTTCCTCCGTGACATTGTTCAACTGAATGAGAGAGAGACAGAGAGAGAGAGACAGAGAGAGAGAGACAGAGAGAGACAGAGAGAGAGACAGACAGAGAGAGACAGAGAGAGAGTATTTGTTAGTTGCTTTTATTTATTTGCAGATGATGATGATCAAATAAAAACATAAATAAATAAGTAAACATAATTATTACTATTATCACTGTTGATAAACACAAACAAAAGAGATTTTACACACAAACATGTAAAAAGTTTATAAAATGTTTTCTTATAAATGAAACTGCCATGAGTTTATTAATCAAACTGTTTATTAATCAGACAGAACAGAAAACATTCGTCACTGCTGACGGACTGAAAACTGTTCGTCTCACATTAATAACATTAATATTCAAATCACAATGATTCTACAGAGTTAAATCTCCTGTATGTAACATTAAACTGTAGCTAA